TGAGGAAGCCAAAATATAGAGGAGAGGCTAGAGGTACCACAACAATGACTCTCTATAGCAACCCACTGAGGGATATATATTTGTGAATTTAGAGTAACTATGTTGCTTAAGATTGCTGAATAGTAATATGCTTTCAAATTCGGGAATCCCATACCTCCATCTTTTATTTGTTTCATTATTAAACTTTTTGAAATTCGGGGATGTTTCCCTCCCCAGCTGAAACAAATTAATATCGCCTGTAATGTTGAAATATAAGTTTGTGGAATTTTAATCTGTAAAAACCTAAACAGGTAAAGAATTTTTGGTAGAATTTGCATCTTCAATGTCGCTATTTTTCCTACCCATGATAATATAATATTTCCCCACGTTTTCAATTGTTTTTCAATATCTTTAAGTAATCTTGTATAATTTGCTGAAAAAAGTTCTTTTTCATTTTTTGTAAATCTGATACCAAGGTACACCAGATGGTCTTCTCTCCAATCAAAATGATGATCTAATTTAAGTTTTTCTTCTGACAATTTAGATATGTTAAAACACATAGCTTGCGTTTTTATGATGTTGAGTTTGTAAAAGGAGAGTTGACTATATTTATGTATTTCCTTATGTAAACTGGGTAAAGTAATATGTGGTTGAGTAAGTGTTAGCAAAATATCATCAGCAAAGATATTAAGTTTATATTCTTCTGAGCCCACTCGCACTCCATGTATATCTTTACTTTGTCGAATAACCGAAGCTAAAGGCTCCAAGGCCAAAACATATAACATGGGGGATAGTGGACACCCTTGTCTTGTACCATTGGTAATCTTGAAGAGATCTGAACCAAAACCTAAGTTCATAACCTTTGCTGTCGGATTATTATATAAGGCTTTAATCACTGAAAGAAATGCAGGTGGAAATCCGTATACAAGCAGAGTTTCCTGAAGAAAAAGCCAATTCAAATGATCGAAAGCCTTCTCTGCATCTAAGGATAACATAATACTTTCTAATTTAGATGACTTTAGAATCGTATAAATATCTAAGACTTTCCTTGTATTATCTATCCCTTGTCTGCCTAATACGAATCCCACCTGATCTGTATGAATTAAGGTTGGTAAAACTTCTTTAATTCTTTCTGCATACACTTTTGCATATATTTTGGCATCTATGTTCAGTAGAGAAATAGGACGAAAATTTTGACATATTGTTGGGGATTTTCCTGGTTTTGGGATAGTAATGATTAAAGCTGATAAAAATTCAGTTGGGAAAAATCCTTTTTCAGTTCCTTCATTGAAAAATTTGGTAAGAGCTGTCACCAATAAATGTTTAAATGTAGTATAATAAAAGTCCGAAAATCCATCAGGTCCTGGTGCTTTTCCTTTAGGCATTTCCTTTATTAACTTTAATATTTCTTCCGTAGTAATAGGTGCTATAAGCTGTGTTAATTGGTGTTCTTGGATCTTAGGTAGATGCAATTTGTCTAAATATTGACGTATTGTAGCTGAAGCTGGTTGTGATATATTTTTCTGATCTTTCAAATTGTATAAAGTTTTATAATAACTTGCAAATTCATCGCAAATCTGAGCAGGTTGATATATCTTTTGTCCAGTTTTAGATAATAGATATGGAATTCTCGATTGTGCTTGTTTATTACGCAATTTCTGCGCTAGGAACTTTGTTGCTTTATTGCCCATTGAGTAAGATGTAGCCTTAAGTTTCCCTAGTGCAGTACTCGTTTGTCGAAAATGAATCTTGTCAATATCATTTTGCGTATGATGTATTTGCTCTTGTATTTGTGGAGATGGATTAATCTGATTTTGTCTATGTAGATCTTGAAATTTTTTAAGAAGGTTCAAGCAGGCAGTTTGAGTAGTTTTTTTAAGATATGCTGCTCTGCTTATTAAAAGACCTCGTATTACCGGCTTGTGGGCTAGCCATAACGTCGTTGAGTTAGTATTCTCTAAATTATTGGTGATAAAATATTGTTGTAATTCATATTTGATTTGATTTCTAAATTCTAGATCATTTAATAACTCTTCATTTAATCTCCAGGGGCCTTTTTTTATATATCTATATTGGTCCGTTAATGTGAGTGTTACAGGGTTATGATCCGATTTTGTAGATATTCCAATTTCACAGGACTTTATTTTTAAAAGATGTGAGCTGTGCATAAAAAAACCATCTATCCGGGAGTAAGTATTATGAACTTGAGAAAAGTGCGTAAATTCTTTAGTATTAGGATGCAGAGTTCTCCAGATATCATAAAGGCCATAAGATATCAATATTTTGTTAAAAGTATTACAGCTTTTCTGTAAGAAGGACTTTCTTTTTTTTGAATGCGACGCAGTTGAGTCCAAATTTGGATCTTGGACTTGATTGAAATCTCCACCAATAATCGTAATGCCTGTTTGTAAACTTATTACTTTCTTCATAAGTATTTGCATAAAGTTGTTTTGGTTCGTATTTGGAAAGTATGCATTTACTATGGTATATGTTGAGTTATTTATTATGCATACTAAAATAAGAAATCTACCCTGTGGATCTATATATGTTGTTATCTGTTCAAAAACTAATCTTTGATTAATCAGAATTGATACTCCTTTGGTCTTATTAGGAGATGTAGCGTGATACTGAAAAGGGAAATTCTTCAAACTAAAAATAGGATTAGAGTTGTGCTTAAAGTGAGTCTCTTGCAGATAAATTATGTCAGCCTTCGAATCTTGAAGTTCTTTAAGTATCATATATCGCTTATTTGGTGCGTTTAATCCTCTCACGTTATGTGTATATAACTTCATAGCTCAAATCACGGACAATGAGGGAGAGAGAAAAAAAAAAAAACACCCTGGTCCCAAATTAAATTAAATATAAATAAATAAAGTATAATACAATGAATGAATCTAAATCTAAGCGTCTCAAAGTGACACTTCTTAAAATGGGGGTTAAAGTGGGCGGAGCGGACCTCTGAGTGGCAGCTATATAGGGCTCAACATCTCTTTTTCTTTCTCTATCTTCTTCCTTCTCAGATAATATTGCGAAGAAAAAAAATAAATAAATTTCTAAGCAATGATCTTCTAAACAATGTTATATAGAATATTCTCTAAGAATAAATCCCAATAATAATAATCCATTAAGTATTTTCATCAAATAACTCTGCTGATATACTTTTAAATTATTTCAAATCAACCTTAATAAGCACATTTTCCAAATACTCATTTCATCAAATAATCCTGCTGATGTACTTAAATTATTTCAAATCAACCTTAGTAAGCACATTTTCCAAATATTCATATATGCTATTTGTAGCCCTAGGCTAAAAATACTCAACATCAAATTGATCTTACTAAACAAAGTTATTAAGCATATTCTTGAAAAAAAAAAAAAAAAATTCTAAGCAATGATCTTCTAAACAATGTTATATAGAATATTCTCTAAGAATAAATCCCAATAATAATCCATTAAGTATTTTCATCAAATAACTCTGCTGATATACTTTTAAATTATTTCAAATCAACCTTAATAAGCACATTTTCCAAATACTTATTTCATCAAATAATCCTGCTGATGTACTTAAATTATTTCAAATCAACCTTAGTAAGCACATTTTCCAAATATTCATATATGCTATTTGTAGCCCTAGGCTAAAAATACTCAACATCAAATTGATCTTACTAAGCAAAGTTATTAAGCATATTCTTGGAAAAAAAAAAAAAAAATTCTAAGCAATGATCTTCTAAACAATGTTATATAGAATATTCTCTAAGAATAAATCCCAATAATAATCCATTAAGTATTTTCATCAAATAACTCTGCTGATATACTTTTAAATTATTTCAAATCAACCTTAATAAGCACATTTTCCAAATACTCATTTCATCAAATAATCCTGCTGATGTACTTAAATTATTTCAAATCAACCTTAGTAAGCACATTTTCCAAATATTCATATATGCTATTTGTAGCCCTAGGCTAAAAATACTCAACATCAAATTGATCTTACTAAGCAAAGTTATTAAGCATATTCTTGGAAAAAAAAAAAAAGAGATTCCCAAAAGAAAATATTCCATCAGATCTTTCCCAAAACATTCTGTTAATATAGTATCATTCTTAGTATATCAATTTAATATGTAATTTCATAGCTTTACACAATTCTTTTCATATTTGGTCTATTACATGCCCATATACATATTTTAATTTTGCTCATATGTATCAAACATTTGAAATCTCATACATGGTAATAAGGCGGACCTTAAGTCCGATCAGATAGGCTACTCCTTATTCTTTTATATATATATATATAAAAAGAAATCTTTAATCCTTCCAATGCTAATACCTGTAATTATCTATTTTAATCAGCATGCATAGTATAACCCATTTTAAGTTAGTAAAATAAATAGAAAGATAGTAGACAATATATAATATTCTTTATAGAATGGGATAACATTTAACATTTTAATTGTTTTAATTATAATATAACATACCTTGGCCGTATTATGAATAAATCCGTATTCTAAATTGTCCATTATTACCATGTTGTACTATTCATATGCGTCCAAGGTATAGATATTATATATTATATAGGTTATAAATTTTACACATAAATTTTACATATCCTTTTTCCCCTCTCTTTTTCCTCCCTACCCTCCCCTTTCCTTTCATATAACATGTCTTTGTGAATATCCAAAATTTTTCTCCTTAATTTGCCTCTTTCTTCTTCTAATAAACCTTTCTGCAAACCATATTTTATTCCTCTGCAACAAACCATTCACTTCTTACAAAAATATAGCAGAGAGAGAGGAGAGAGAGAGGAAAAAAAAAAAAAAAGGGAAATGAAGGGGGGAGGGGAAAGGGAATGATATATCT